TGGACTCAGGGTCTGGGCACTGTCCCTGTGCTTGGTAGCTCAGGGCTGGAGCTCTACCACTTGAGCCACAGCTCTACTTCCAGCTTGATGCTGGTTCCTTGGAGAGAAGAGTCTTGCAGACTTTCGTGCCTGGGCTGGCTTTGAACCACGATCCTCAGGATCCTCAGATCTCAGCCTCCTGAGTAGTGAAGATGACAGGCGTGAGCCACCGACGCCCAGCCGTTCTTCCACCTGTGATACACATACTCTGCTCCGGGGAAGTAAGCATTGGACTGTGGATTGACAATAGTGTTCTTTTCATTTCTTCTCTCTCCCTTCCCCTTCCCCTCCCCTCCCTTTCCCCTCCCCTCCTCCCCGCTCTCCCCCTCGATGCTGGCGAATACTTTTTGCACAGGGTCTCAACTTTGGGGTCACCACCCACCTGCGCAGCCGGGATCCCAGGCTGAGTCCCAGCGCCAGTTTTCTCCACACGGAGGAGCCTGAGCTGGACAGCCGCCGCCCCTTTCCGCCCCCCACATCCTGTCCCCCAAATTCGCCTTCCCTTGCGCATGGCCCACCTGCGGGCTCCCGCAGCGCGCGCGCGACCTTGGCACTGTGTTCGGAGTGGGGCTCGGGTTCCTGCCGCTCGGTCCGGGTCAGGACGCCTGGTGGCATCTGAGCCTGCATCCCGGCCTTCCCCCGCACCCAACAGATGCCAGGCGCATGCGCACGGGCGGAGGGGTCCCCAGGGTACCGCCTCCCCCTCCTCAGCCCCAGGGCGCATGGCGCCAGCGCGAGGGCTGCGCTCTCAGAACGCCGGGCCGGGCGTTTGGATCCTGGCAAACTTCCCGGCACAGGTGCTACTCGAGAGACAGACCATAATAAGGCTGGGTGGGAATGGACAAGTGGACAATGGAAAGGCGGACTCCTGCTACGGAAAACCTTCCGGAGGTCCTTCAAGAGAGGAAGAATAGATTTAACATAGGATCCAGCGGACCCCATTCTGGGTATGCGTACCCAACTAGATCTCCATACCCCCCCACCCCCACACACCTCTCATTCATAGCTAGTGAGGACCTTGAGCTCTGCTTGCACCCCTCCCCGGGGAGGAGGGTTCTTCCCCTCCACCCCTTCTTGCTTCCCTGATTTCTTCCAGGGGCATGGATGGCAATTTCACCTGCCTCTCTCCTCAGAGCACAGAGACATCTGTCTGTCCTGTTCTGTGGGTGTTAAACTCCCAGTGCTTAACATAGTACCTACGGAACTCAGTGCTTGGTCATTGGGACTAGAAGAAAGTGAAGCAACCCACCCCGGTGAATGATGGCAAAATCCTTCACCCCATCACCATAAGCTTCAACTTTGCCCCCTTCCCCCCAAAGGTGTGCATTGCCTGACAGTCTGCAAAGCATCTTCACACCCATTCCCACAGTTCACATGCACACATCCAAGAGAGGGATCATCGTAGGGTTCACACTCATACTGGTTTTGGTGGTGGGGTTTTGTTTTGTTTATTGTGGAGCTGGGAACCATAGACTCCAGTCTATTGGAGCAGACAAAAACAGGGACTGGAGCAGGGCTCAACCATGCGTGTCTGCTGACTTTTGAGTCCAGTTATCTTGGCCTGAAAGCACAAAGGCTGGGTGCGCAATGGTTAGACAAGCGTGAACTGTGCAGTGTGGACAGAGAGATCATGTAACTTGCCTCCAAGCTCTTCCTAGCTGTGCGATACTGGGGAGCATGCTAGTCCTCTCTGTGCTCACCAAATGGGGAGTATAATGGCATCTATCTCCAAGGTGGTTCTGAGCACGTGACCTGGCAGGGCAGGAATAGCTAATTTTAAAAAGATGGTTCTTAAAAACATGCTTGAACAAATTGTCTATCACAGTCAGACAATTTGTTCCAGGAAAGTTAGAATGAACTTGTGACTTAGAAACTATGTAATCACTTAATCACAATCAAAAAAAAAAAAAAAAGAACTTCGGGGAAGGGAGGGAGGGGGGGGATGGTAGGGGGAAAACAATGGAGGGGCTAACAATGTTCAAGAGGAAGTGTACTCATTACCTCACTCATGTAACTGTAACCCTCTGTATAGTATCTTTACAATAAAAAAAACTAAATTTAAAAAAAAAATAAAAATAAAAACATGCTTGAGCCAAGTGCCAGTGGTTCACACCTGTAATCCTAGCTACTCAGGAAGCTGAGATCTGAGGATCGTGGTTCAAAGCCAGCCCAGATAGGAAAGGCCATGAGACTATTATCTCCAATGAACCACCAGAAAACCCGAAGTGGCACTGTGGCTCAAAGTGGCAGAGCACTAGCCTTGAGCAAAAGAGCTTAGGGACAGTGCCCAGGCCCAGAGTTCAAGCCTCAGGACCAGCAAAAACCAAACCAAACCAACCCCATAAGCTTTGTGGCTCATTCATATATGCTTTTCATAAGGCCCTAACTCTGCCACAATTTCTGCGGCTAAGCAGAGAGAGAAAGACTCAAAGAATAAGAAGCCATCTATCTTGAAGGCAGGGACACCTTATCACTGCAGGGCTGCAATCCAAGCTTTGGGGAAGAGAGGTGGTATCAATACCTCGTTGTCCTGAGGGCAGGCTCCCCAGAGGCAGAGCAGAATTTGTCACCCTTGGAGCGCTCATTATAAAGGACACACCTGCAGCCAGGCCCTCTCCTGGGAGGCCGTGTTTACACAAAGTATTGCTGCCCCAGGACTCTAAGCCTCCTGGGAGGGCGCTCCATCCCACGGCCCCATCGGCACACTGCTCACCAGCGCCGACTGCTGGCAACCTGCAGCTTCTCCACAGTGGCTGAGGCTCTAGACTAAGGAAGAAGGTAACCTAGATTAAGCACTATAGACTAGAGGCTTGACTGGCACATGACCCCCTCCTTGGCCCCATTTGATATTTCCAAGAAGTGGCTTTGTAAATACAGAAAATATGGCGGCGGCGGCGGTCACAGGAGCCACCATGATCCCAGCTATACAGAGAGGAGTTCATGAATTCAAGATGATCCAAGCAGACTGGGCAATGTAGTGAGACTTCAGCTCAAGAGGAAGAAAGAAAGAAAAGAAAGGAAAAAGTAAAGGAAGGAAGGAAGGGAGGGAGGGAAGGAGAGAGAGAGAGAAAGAAAGAAAGGAAGAAAGGAAGGAAGGAAGAAAGGAAGGAAGGAAGGAAGGAAGAAAGGAAGGAAGGAAGGAAGGAAGGAAGGAAGGAAAGGATGGAGGGAGGGAGGAGAGAGAAGAAAGAGCTACAGCAATAAGGAGACCTAAACCCTCTGCAGTCACCAATGTCCACAATGGGGAAGACACCACACCCTCTGATTACATCTTCATAAGTAGGGACAGAAAAAACAACCACTGTGCACAAGGAAAGGAGCCAGACAATAAAGGCCTCAGGCCACACTCACTAATTTGGCCCTGTTTGCTTCCTTCCCATGATGTCAGTGAGGGCTGCTGGTCCTCTGGAACCACTTGACAAGAATCAACCAGTCACCAGGACTGTGTAATCTCTAGGCACACCTTTGTTTCCACACCCCTAATACTTTGTCTATTTAAGCCTATGCCCCTGAAGATGAGCTCAAGTGCTTACTTTGCTCCTTCTAGTGTCATGCTGGGTTAATACATTGTTTGCTGCCTTCCACCATTCCTGGTCTCTCTATTTAACCCACTGGGGTGAGTGGCCCGGACCTGATGTGTGGAATGCCTGGAGTTGGGTTTAGCACCTAAAACTCAGGACTCAGTGCTAGTCAATTTCTGAGCCTTTGGGAATTCTCTAAAGGAACTCCTACTGTGTGGGATTCAGACTAATTGTTTTCCTTTTGCCTGAGGCTTAAACTCTGGGCCTGGGGGCTGTCCCTGAGCTCTTTTGCTCCAGGCAAGTGCTGTACCACTTTCAGCCACAGCTCCACTTCCATTTTTTTCTGGTGGTTAATGGGAGGTAAGAGTCTCAGAGATTTTTTCCTACCGGTGCTGGCTTTGAACTGTGGTCCTCAGATCTCAGTCTCCTGAGTCGCTAGAATTACAGGTGTGAGCCCGGGTGTGGCACCAGGCTGGATTCAGACATCTTGATCCAGTGTGTATCACCATTGCTCTGCCCCTCAAGCGTTGTGTTTTTATTTTTGTCGTTTCTTGGTGCCAGTGGATTTATGTCTGTAATATATCTGTGTGTGTGTTTACTGAACGATGAGTAGGCCTTGCAGTTGGAGAAGAGACAGCCATATATTCGGATGCCATATAAACAATCAAACCCTGCAGTCCAGTGTTTTACTAACTGGAAAGGAGAGTGGTAGATCTGTCTTCGTAGACCGGCTCCGAGCCGTCCTCAGATCTCAGCCTCCTGCTGGGGGGCTAGGATGACAGAGGTGAGCCACCCACCACCCCAGCTCGGGTTTACTCCTGACACGGGGGTCTTCGTACCGTGCTGCCTGGGCTGGTGGGGAACTGTGATCCTCCTGATCGCCGCCTCTCCACGCAGCCGGGAGTAGCGGGCATTGGGGCACCCCAGTGTCGGCTTACCCGACACCCTTGGGTGGCTCGGTTCGGGGTGGGCTGTGTGTCCTGAGGTTTGCACGCAGGGTTTGCCCGGCTGGCAGAGGCGCTCGGGGCTGATCCGTGCCTCGATTTCCTTTCCTCGGATCCAAAGGCCGTCCTCGCGGGGCGGCGGGGGAGAAGGGGTGGTCTCAGCCGTCCATTAGGTCTCAGGACGGCGAAGCCCCGCCCCCAGCCCCCCGCCCCCCCCACGCAC